TATCATTCGGTTCAGGATATTAATTTTTAGTAGTACCGGATTGGAGAGAGAAGTCTGTACATGTATTGAACACGGCACATCTCGCGCAACCAGGCTGGATAATGCAGTCAAATTGTTGCATTTTGCCGATTGCTATTGGCCAATAGACAAAATGGAACAGAAAGAACGCGCTTAAGTACGAATTAACCGCTCTTAAGTACGAAAATGCGTTTTTTTTTACCGAGCGGAACTCGAAAATTACGCGTGTTCCAAGGCCAACAACCCCTAACTATTCTTAAAATATTGCAGTCTATACGTAGACATCACTGCTCAACCCTTTTCGAAGTAATGTTAGTTGCAAATCATAGTTCCCTTCGAAAAGTGTCGTATTTTTGCCTGATAGTAAGAGAAACCCATGTTAAAATAATATTAATGTTTTAGCATCAGTTTAGCCTCGATTTTCTCACACGATCAAGTCTAAAATGCGGCAGTTTTCGGCGGTCAACCATGATTGGCAGCTCTCATTATTTTGAATATGGTTGAGCAGCGTTGTGTACTTGTACATGACAGTATTCTAGGAATGATTGTGGTACGTAGGTCATCATTGTATGGATCATAAATTCAACAGGTGATGACAAGCTGTCCTGGACAACATTAAGCTTCCACGCTTTAAATGCGATAAGGAACGCTTTTGTTAAGAGTTAAGCCGATGAGCAGCAGTGCTCAGACCAGTTTAACTATCAGAACACCTGACTCGTCTGACCACTACCTATTGCTTACCAGACAAATTTTTCCCCTTAAACTGGTTTAAAAACCCTTTGTTACATGTACCGTAATGCACCCCGTTTTGGCGGGGGTGGACTTAACCAAACAAATCAGGGTTTAGCATATAACTATGAGGGTACTAGTTAAAATGATCATAATATCTCAAAGTTTATCAATTGTACGAGGGCGCGAAAACGGGGTGCAGTACTAGTAGCCGCTAAAGTATTAATAGAAAGTATTTCACGGACGAAATTTTATGTTCCGCTCCACATTACACGAGTCAGATATTAGTAGGATACTGATCGCAAACTAGCCGAAGAATTATTGCGGTTCCCCGGGTTGTTTTTCAAGTGTATTATTTTATTATAAGGCCAATATCGTGCACTGTCTCGCTCGCGTTGATTGGCCTTGTTACGTAGACTCAAAGGGCAACAAGGCTACAGTTTCGGAGAATCGGACGTCCTTCTGCCCCACGGGTCACCCGTATATGCATAGTAACAGCAAGTCGCATTGGTTGGGACTCGACCTATAGGTGCGTAGATTTATTAAATTATATCGGGCGAAACACTCATT